GTTCAAACTATTTATCATATATCATCGCTTTGAATGCGATATTTTCTATTTAGAACAGGGTAGACTTTTATCTAAGCATTGAACTATTATGATGTGGTATTTATGGTCGTTATTAATGAAATAGGTTTTCAAGCAGATATATTGTGCGGTATCAGTATTTGAATTTACGTAGTATTGTGTTTATGGGTTGTGTCGAAGTATCGTCATGCTACAACATTGGTAGCTTTTTGTCAGGTCGCGCACCGAAAATCACGATAGCATGTTATATTTTATATATAAACAACAGAGTAAACGGTTTAATATATAATATGTTAAATAAAACCTGACTTGTGACTGTAAAATAGGTACGAGTATTAAATTCAGAATTTATTTTGATCCCGATATTCAAGGATAAGGCGGAGGTCAAAAAGTCAGACATATTAAGCTAATCATCATCGATTTCAGTCCTTGATTGCACGCGACTACAGCTTTATTTTGGACCGTTGTTGATTTCCTTTATGCTTAGGTAGCGACTGTTAATTATCGTAAGCAGTGATGAAGAGCAGTGTATCATTAACTTGGAGTGAATGCCCCTTTATCCGGGCGTCATTATAGCCAGGATTACATCGATAGAATGTCTATTTCTACTGAATAGAAGTATCAAATAACAACTACAATGTATGTCGTATTTCGTTAACATGCCAGATATATAACACGTTCTTGTAGGATCTATATGATATATCCTGAATGTATGCTACGGATTAGAATGACAAACTGTAACCATGCAGGTTACCATAATGGCTCCTTTACAATTAATATACTTGCCTTATCCAGTGTATTTACGAAGTACATGGATATGATTCATTACCAAGCGGTCTACAAAAAGGAGACGACTTAAAATAGAAAATGTATATTAATTTTTAACGACGATTTGATGCATACAGACTGTATTTTAACGTACAAAGGCTACATTGGTGTATCGTTTGTCTTCACGAATAAAACATGAAACATCACAGTGGATATCAGACATAGACACTTTTACATGACCTATTGTCAACATGGCACTCCATTTTATTGTTAATGTCATAAAAGGAAATATTTGGTATACCAATAAATTACCATCATGTAGTGTAAAATGTTTGGTATACCATTGGGTTGACAACATAAAGTGAAGCATTTGGTAAACCATTTCTTTGGTATTTATCATCAACGTGTAATACATAATTATCCCACAGGCATAGTATGGAACATGACATGAACATTAATCTCCCTATAATGTTAAATGAAACGAGTTCCATATACAGCGCTATATTAATATCGATACATGTAAATAAAATAAAGAGGATTTCGATTTTAAGTTTGTAACTCCTCAATAAACATAGATGAATTGCGTTATCCACTCCCAAAATAGCTATCTAATCTCATTGTAAGGTGTTTCTCCCCCAATTCTATCAGTCACGTTCTACTTGGTCATTTACGTGCGATACCAGTGCAGCAGTCACGTTTTACCTAGTGCGATACCAATGCAGCAGTCACGTTTTACCTAGTGCGATACCAGTGCAGCAGTCACGTTTTACCTAGCGCGATACCAGTGCAGCAGTCACGTTTTACCTAGCGCGATATCAATGCAGCAGTCACGTTTTACCTAGTGCGATACCAATGCAGCAGTCACGTTTTACCTAGTGCGATACCAGTGCAGCAGTCACGTTTTACCTAGCGCGATACCAGTGCAGCAGTCACGTTTTACCTAGTGCGATACCAGTGCAGCAGTCACGTTTTACCTAGTGCGATACCAGTGCAGCAGTCACGTTTTACCTAGTGCGATACCAGTGCAGCAATCACGTTTTACCTAGTGCGATACCAATGCAGCGGTCACGTTTTACCTAGCGCGATACCAGTTGAGCACCAGCTGTGTACACTTTTCTGCTATCACTGGCCTTTACTTAAAGGATGTGATCATTTATTGCCGTTCGACCTGAGCTTATCTGTGAGGACATGCTTGTTGTTTGATCTGAAACTTTACGATGCGCCTATAAAACACAACTAATTCAATTTTAAAGTAACTCACTAAATATTTTATCTAAAATCACATTGCTTTTATTAGAAATGCCAACAGTTCCTTATAGAATCTTAAACCTGGGACCTATAAAAAAAGTGTAAAGTTTACAAGTTTTTCTTTTAAAACCCAGAAGGACAGAACACTACTATAACTCCACAGAAGGTAAACATCGATCAACAGTATGTATTATATAGACAACGAAGGCAAGTGAATGTTTCTTCTTACTTTTTAAGCGCGAAACACACCCATTCATCTTTGATTTTTGATCTCTGATATTCTTTTATTGTCATATTACAGGAACATTATTTTCAATATACAACGCATGAGTTATTTTCTCTAGATTGAAATCTGTCTTGAAAGACATAAACTTTTATTTTGTTGTTGTTTCATCTTGGACTGTTATGAAAGAAACATTGATTCAACTTTTAATTTATATTTGTATGATACTAAGCGAATACTGTTCAATTATCTCCTTCAAACATATTATGTCGAACTTCTTTGATGCCAACACTACTGCCAGATTGTAATTGACTACTTCTGCCAACCTTGAAAACCCATAATTAATATACCGTGGACATCAGTTTTATGCCTGTTTTAACCTTATATATTTTCTGTCGCACTTGTGAGTGGTATTAACATGATAGCAACTTTCAAGGTCGTTTGGTGCCGCGGTGGAAAATATGTCTACCTTAAGCCAACATCTTGGTTTGTTGTTGTTCATTGTACGTGGTATAACCCGAACCATCATCTTTTCTGTTCATCTGTTTGTTCAGGTTGTGGAATCGGTTCCTTTGCCGAGACAAACCTACGCCTATAAAATGTGTCCTTATTTGTCTATGATGGAAATTCAGCTTTAAAAGAACAACGATTATCGATTAGCCGGTTTTCAATATGATTTGCCATGCCAACGCAGCCAGGTTACAATAATTCAGTGTTATAGTACTATTAAGCACCCTTTAGATCGCCTAATCATTCGCGGTCATCGTCCTTATATGACACTGACTGTTACGGGTACTTAACAAAACCATCTCATCCCCAAACAGCTTAGATCCACCCTGTTAAGATGATAAGAATGTAGGTAAAACTTCGAGGTTGTCGATAATTTTTTTTATTGAATATGTCGATTTTAAACGCAGATATCTTATTATATCAGGACGTCCTTGATATTTTCATTTTCAAAAAAAAAAAAAATTGAATGAAAATTTTCAAATACAAGCATGACTTAAGATTACAAGACGTCTTTTAAAGTCTTTTTGTTCCTTCAAATATTAATTAAAACGTCAACCAGTGGTGACCTTGGGTGTGAATATACTGTCCTGAGGTTTGCTATATTCCTTACACCTGACTCGTGTCCTTAATTGTCGGTCTTTATGATGACCTCACCTGACATAGGCCATTGTCACTTAGTATGTATCCTCAAATACACACCCCTCTTTATGTTGTAATTTGTGATATCAAACTAAATACAATCTGTTTACTTTGGATGCTTGTCGGATAGGTGATTGTTTGTCTTACAATAAAACCATGCCCACCCGCCTGTGACTCGTATCTCCTATCGGCCCTAAACTCGGACTGATCGATATATAAGGGATATGACTGGTCAAAATGAAATGTAATTGATGATTACTGCTTAGAGTTCCGGCATCTCCTTAACTGGATTGATAAGCAAAGCCATAAAGTTCAAAATGTAACATTGTGGATGTGTTAAATGTTTGTGTTGATGACTTTTCTATCGATTTAAATGTTTAGAAAACACATGAAATACAAATAATTGCCATCAAGCTGCTTTCTTATTTATTGGTAACACTTTCTTGTTGAAACATATTCTGAAATTAAAGTGATGAAAACAATCCATATTCATGACCATAAAGTAGTTTGGAAAAATAAATAATGGGATATGGGCTTTAACCATGCAAAGACTTTTTTGAATGACAACATATGTTTACATCGAATATCTATATCTTTTGACGTGTTAGATGTCTTTGATTAAGGTGTTGAGGGCACAGTGGCGTGACCCGTAGCCATACTAGAGAAATTAAAACCCTGCAATATTTGCATATATATGTATATTTAGAATATATATACTTGTGATATACAAAGTACACAATCATTCAAACGTTATCGATCGTTTGCGGCAATAGGTTGTCTTCAGACGGCTGCCATGTGATCTAAATCAACAAATGTTAGTTGATTGTAAACTTTACACAATACCAGTATTCACTTATAGAGAATATAAAACATCTGATCCAAATGTTTTGTGGCTAAAGAATAATAGAGTTGTGTTCGGATTGCGCTTATTCACCGGAATAGCTTACCTATATAATAAAGCAGGCTCGCCAACAGTTGTATGTTTGTTCACTCAGGCCAGTTAATGAAATAGTTTTAGGATGAAATACCACTGCATGACATTTAATTTTTGTTTTAGGTTTGTGGTTGTAGACGGTGCAGCCGTAGTTCTAATCGCCTGTAGCCTATCTCTACATCTACAGAGGAGAGGTGCACTGGTGCAGATGTGAGACACGTCGTGTTTAAACGTGGGGCCAATATGTGAACACTAACACTATTTCTGTCATATAAATCATCAGAAGATAGAGGAGGACTGTTATGTTTTGCCTATGTGCGCTCAATAGCAACAATGGTGTAATACAGAGAGCACCCAATCAGCTATGGCGTCATTGTTTATAGATACCACGTGATTCCACAGCAAATGATGAAGGATTCTCAACAACAATGATGGACATTGTGATTTTTAGAGAACAAAATTTTTGAGTCGGCAGAATCAATGGTAACGCACTCTTCAAAGGAACGATTTAAAGATGAAGTGAAACTCTTTTTTTGACATGTCGGCTTCCGGATATATAAGATTATAAGTAATATGGATCGTACTAATTAACCAAAATTTTGTGATATCCTGTTTAAAATTACCATATTAGGTGGAATATACGTCGACGATTTTAGCAGAATGACGGTGACTTCGAGTCTGTCTGGATACACCTCATATCTACCTCCACGTGTAGTGGACGTTCCACGGGAAACTATCCGGAGCTTCCACCACTCCAAAAAAGTTGGGAACTATTTATTAGGCAAGACAATTGGAGAAGGGTCGTTTGCCAAGGTCAAGGAGGCCCTTCATGTTCCCACAGGGGAACTGGTAAGTAATTTGACAGTGACAAGCTCACACAAGGTATTAATATGACCGAGCTGGGAATTTTACGTTGTTGTATGTAACAAACTGACTTTATTTGTGAGTTTATCACAAGCGAAGTATGGGCACAAAGCTACACATGTACATTTGTAAACGTAAACTCAAATAGTATTAAGAATAATACTTGAAACAATATAGCACATTGAGAACTAGCTGTAAGTCACATTATTTATGACAGCAACTTGAGAACAACGACGTCTTGTTGTACCAGAGCAAAATGATTTTACCAATATTGTTACCATATAGTCATAATTACAATATATATAGCCAGTCCCTTTCTATCCTCCCTACATGATATTGTGTATTAAGAATTTTTTTGTCAATATTGTAGATACAAGTATGTGCCAAATGATTTATTGATATAGATTGTAAATGACAAGCCCCAAAACTGTGAACAGAAATCTTTTCCATAAATTTCCATCTATACGCAGAGATGTCATTACTTCACAATGGGTATATATGGAAAAGCATGGGACGATAGAATTTGTTCATATGGCATTGCAGTTTTTGTCCTTCAAGTTCAGGTCTGCCATATGATTTACAAAAATTAGTATGTTCTTATAGAGAACGTGCACAATGTGTTTAACATTTTATTTTGTGTTGTTTAAATGTGATTTTTATGGGTGTTTTTGAAGGAGAAGTATTCTCTTTTACTGAATCGGACTTAACCATTAATATTTCATAACTTTTCAAATTTGGATAATTCGTTTGAAATTATTCACAGACCTTCAGTGATTGAACTGTAAAAATATCTTTAATTCATCTCGTTAGTGAATTGAAATTAAAAATCCTCTTTTCAGCTTTTCGTAGGATTTTACTTTGGATGATAAATGTACTTCATTTAAACTTGATGCACATACAACTTCCTGATTTCTTTCTATATACAAAAACCCATTCTTATATGATTTATCTTCTGTCAAACATATCCTGAAGGTCGGTTGCATGAAACCCTCCCGGGCAAAACAGGCCTTACAGCTCATCAAAACTTTATCATCAAGTACTGAGAAGCACGCAGCCGTTTAATAGAATATACTAAAAAGATAGTTTCAGCAACGTTAAAACACAACAATATAATCAATAACATCAAAGTTCTACAAACAGAAAACAAATGGACAACATAGCATATATAAACAGCAAAAATTAGAAGAGAAATTCATTACATTCGAATGCCAATTGTTTACACATTTGCAATGGATACCACTGATATAAATAGTTTAAATTTATGTAAATAAAAATACAATTAAGCAACCAGGACTGTGGAACGACAATCTATTAACGGCTATGTTTAATCTTATTCCTGCAAACTTCCCTTCATTTAAGTCAAGTTTGCTGAACAAACATTTTACTTCTAATAATATTCTATATGTATTTCTAACCCAATTTACAGTTTATTTGATCATAATGCTAATGTGTTCATATACATATCTCACTAACTCCCATGTTACATTTTGAATGAAATTTTTAAATGCTCAATGTCTCGTTTTAATATGCATCACCATTGTCAAAGAACACATCTGTGTGGTTCTCTACATACAAACGGTGTAATCAACCCCATTGTTAGTAGCAGTTTTTATACCGCGAACCTGCATAGACACTTAATATTGAAATATTCTTAATTGTGCTAGCATACAACGAATTTTACTTTTTCTACCATAACAAATAAAGTAACAATTACACCATATATTCCTTGTCCCGTTTAGTAGCTGACATTTGTAATAAATTATTTGTTAACCTTCAGAGTTGTCGTATCTTTAGTAATCAAATCTCTGATATTGGACCTGTAAGTTATAATCAACTTCAGTATAAAATAAATAACATATACGTCAGCATGACAATGAAATAACAATAAGCCGTAAAATTTTATCACGAATTCTTAAACGATTATACAAGTATATAACAGATTGAAGTACATTTAAACCCTGGTAGCCTTGTATTGTGTTTGTTTGATAAGATATTCCCCTGCAGAGTTTAGGAAGGAATCTCTTTACCCCTGTTTATCTTACTCTCGCCACCTTGTTGAAATACAGCACATTGTTTAAGACTGAAAGGAAAATCACGTAGTGTCATATCGTCGTTTATATCTCTCTACATGCTGTGTGTTTGTGGCTTTACTTATCATCAGATTTCTTTGTATTTGTGACAGCTTATTGATGGGTCATATGTTCATCAATAAATTGTCAATTTAATCTCCAAAGGTGTCATATTATAGACCATGTATTGGTTCTCAATATAAAATTTCCTTTTAAATTCATATTTCTATGACTAAAATACTCTAAGTGTTCTATATAGGCTACAGTACCACGGTAATTGACATGTGTTTACCCCTGGTATATTTTGTTTAGATATCTATGTACGTCGATATGAATTCAGAAATATCACTTGCACAAGTATATCATTTATATCTATATTCTAGTGTGAAAAGAAAAGAAAAAGATGATACAATTATATAAATCTTGCATACAACTGTCTTCTATTTTACACTCGGTACATGTAAACTATTGACAATAAGTTTGATAATGATAGAAAATGAACGTAATAATCATATATATTTACTACCTAACATCCAAATCGGGGCATACCTTGGTGATCACGTATGTATTCATGTATATATACTAACATCAATATATAAGTAATTCATGTAGGATTATTTTAAATATGTATGCTTATGACTAGAAAATTATTCAAGTTTTTGCGTCTATTGTAAACACATATATATGATTTATCATGTAGTACAAATAATGGGAAAAAAAGATCTAAAGCGGCACACGAGATTTATAAGGTATACTGGATATGTCTGCCTAGTTTTCTGTAATGTATGTTATGTATTGTTAATACACCTAGACAATCAATCATCTTTTTTCGTTAATTATTCAATGTTATCGACAGAAAACCAGTATGAATTATGTCTTTTGGCTGATCCCATCAGGTATATATATAGATATTAGTATATATCATAGCGCAAATGATACCAATACAATCTTCCACATAATGTCGGTATGTTTATTTATAGTAGAAATGTACACTGAATAACCCGAATCTCGTATTGATGATGTAGTTAAATCACTTTGCAAATATTATACTGTTTGTTTTGTAATGAGATCAGAAAGACAAGTACACGAATGTTGATACAATTATCAATGTTGCCATGCACGTTGAAATTGCGTTCAAAATAAATAACTGTATACAACCATATTAAGACGTGTTCAAAACAACATTTCTTTTATTCCATTCAGTCTAACCACGTTAGACTAGGTTTTAGTATCGTATCTTATCATAAAGCGAACCTGTAATCACATGTCAAGCATCAGGGATTCCGACCTATACTACATGAAATACTTCTAATTCAAAGTCATTGAAGCTTGCATTTTTGCATAAGGATTCACCAGACAGGGAGTAAGTGTTGTTACCATTGCATAATTCGTAAGAGGCAAGTTTATTTTGCATCTCCTTATTTTCTTTGTTGAGTGTTCCCCACTATCCGGAAGGCTTTTATTTCTGTCCCCTATTTGAGATATAACACACGATATAATTAGCATGGTACCAAAAGCCTCCCGATAGTATGGGCACTCACCACAAACAAACCAAATTTTTCAAAATTAATTGTAACAATTTTGATCATTAAAACTAAGGACAGAACTGAATTGTAGATTACTTGAAAAAATACATATTGCCCATGATGGAAATTAAGAGTTAATGCCTATTATTTATTGTATATTTCGTTATTGTGTTATAACGTGGCTTTGGCATTTGATCATTGTATGACTTTAAAAACATTATTTTTCCAGGTAGCCATAAAAGTGATTGACAAAAAGAGAGCGAAACAAGACAGTTATGTGCGGAAGAATCTTAGACGAGAGGGGAAAATTTTGCAGCTGGCAAGACATCCGAACATCGTACAATTATTTGAAATTATGGAAACTGAAAATAGCTACTATCTTGTAACTGAACTGTGTAAGGGTGGCGATCTTATGGATTATATTTGTCAGCGGAAGAAACTGGAAGAGAGGGAAGCGAAAAAGTTTATTAGACAGATTGTTTCTGCGATTGAATATCTTCACAGACTTGGAATATTGCACAGGTAAGTATTTCGTGAATAAGGAATAACAGATTTTAGAATAGTTCTTGTAAGGCCCACCTTCTCCCTTTTAAAGTGTTTAGTGCTGTCGTTTATACATCAATTCTAATCTACATACAAAGTCAGATTAAATGATATTTTAAGTAAAATTCTTGTGCGGACTAGTTCAAACAGGTTAAAAACATCTCTCTCTCGCCTTTGTAAACTTATCATATCTGCATTTCCTTAATGTCTACCGTTTGTACATTATGATGTCAAAGGATGGTTGTGTTGAAAAATCAACACATGAAAGACCTTTCAAACACTGTTCCTCGTATACGTATGTTCTTTCATCTGAATGCAAACACATTCAATAACATTTAGAATGACATGTATTATTTACCTATGACAATAGATTTCAAAGGTAGTTGTTGTTCAAATGAAAAAAACCAGCACATTCCCTCTGGATACATTAAAAACCACCTGTGTATGGGTGATCACTGCTGATTGATGTTGGAATTTTAAGTCAACACAGAAGCATTTCAGTGATAAACAAATCCCCAGAAAAGTGGCATTGCATTCATTGCTTTAGTCTTTCTTCTATATAAGGATGTTGTTTGTAAAACACATTCAGCTCTAGATTCTAAATCAATTTTCTAATATTACCGCGAAATGTATGGATTAAGATATAAGCCAACATGAGAAGTCGTCTCTCAACTTATTGTTGATTAAACCTTTAACAAGTTGTTTAGATAACACGGCGTTGTTGACACATGAAGTGACCTGTTAGAAAATGTAGGAATGAGTTTGTTTAAAGTGGTGCAAGGAATGCTTTGTTTCATTTTGCACCCTGTATTAAAATCAGTTCTCTGGTACCCCTTTCGTGAGTGTATATAAATAATCCACTTTAAAGACTTTGCTAGACTGAAAGATGTCATGCTAGTATAAAGTTCATAAGAACATAGTGTCGCGAAGGCGAACCTATATTTCAGATTAAAGCTATATGAATATTAAATAGGATAGATATAGTAGAGGTAGAATCAACGATAAAAGGTGAAAACCAAAATGTATCCTTAGACGAATGAAACTTATAAAGCCTATTTATCCAAATCTGATCACACTGTTGTACTGGCGTTTAGTTATCAAAAATGACTATGTCCAACGCCTATGGACAATATTGTAACATGAAATCAAGATAATTGTAAAATTCCATTTGACTCCGGCGAATGGTACCTCATGGTCATCGCGCAGTATTGAATGTGATACACTAGGAACAGTTAACCAGTTGTTAAGGTTATGACATTTCAGTGTGATGTCGCTTTGAAATGCTTGTCAATGGCCCTTTCATCTGTTTACATCAGCTTCATATTAACTTGACTGTTGCAAGGACGTAAACCGCTCAAATAAGGAAAACGCTGTCCAATGTAGCATTGATTTGATGAAACACGTCACTAACAGGATTTACTTGAGGAGGCATTTGATTATGGCAATTTTTGTGGTATCTTCGCTCATGTTAACACTACATAAATCTTTAAACACAGATAAGAACGGATCCCACTGGACACGCAGTTATAATGATGATTCTTAAAAAGTATCTGCAGCTATACTCAAACACTACATTTTTTCTGAAAAACAAAAGCCGTGAAACCTTGAATAGTTGATAACACAGAAAGGGAGATACAAAACAAGCTATTTTATGTGCGTGGACTGATTTTAACATTCTTTAGGCAGTTCTTTTATTGCTATAATGATAAGAAATCAATCTTTACTCGATGGAAGACGTAAACAAATTAATTATTTAAACTCGTATTGCAGTCAAAAAGCATGTAGAAAGCAATGGGTGCAACTTGTACACTTTCACGTGTTCGTGACGTATACATACCAATTTGTTGTCTTCATAGGCAACATGTTACTATGTTGACAAGTTCATGTTTCAGTTATTTTTATAAAAGTTGATAATCAACAACATAGTGGTGTAATAGTGGTCCGATTACCATTACTGTTCTTTATTTCATTAGCTAAACGTTTACATAGGTTTTCAGTATACATGTATTAATGTCGGTATATGATTTTTCTATAGATATTAACAGGTTCTTATTCAGTATACCCACATTACAACTTCTATCAAACATTCATATTCACATAATTGTGTGTATTCATTTGGGATAGGATATCAGCTTTACTTTTTAATTACAAATTTAGAACATATTCTTAACATGTGTTAAGCTCATGTTCCGTAGTTACATCATCAGTTTTGCCAACATAGCAGAACTAGTACTTATTCCAGGTAATTAATTTATCAGTCGACCAATGCAATTGCATTCTACGTGGAAAATGTGTATGAACGTACAAAATGTGTTTGGTTCATGTCTGCTCCAATGCAAAACACTAACAGATTTTTGTTCATCTTTCAGGGACTTGAAAGTGGAAAATTTATTGCTGGATGAAAATCGTGATATCAAGATAATAGGCAAGTTTATCAAAGTTTTCACATTTGTCCTTTCAATACAAAACAACACAACTTAATCATAATCCAAACTTAAGAAAAACTAGGGCAAAAAAATAACATAAGTGAAATTTTTCGGAGCCTCCTGAAAAAAGTACAGAGAGATAAGACCAGGTGTTCCGAAAGAGTAAGCGTCTTCGGCTTCATCGACGACAATCGCCATGTCAATCTTGGTCAATCCAAGTATGTAATGACACGGTCCGTTCTCAAATGAGAGCAATGTATACAACACCGGCATCAATAGGCAAAATAACGAGTATCACACATGACCAGCTTCATATCGCACAAATTTCTCAATGAGATCCTTATAAATACCGTAAAACTTCCCCATAATTATCAACAACCTGCATCTTTTGAAACCCTGTGTTACAAGTTTGTCCATTAGTTGGAAGACTTCTTGCAGAAAATCGTGGTCATGGGAACAGGCCTTTGTATATCCAATCAACAGTGATACCATAGGTCGGGGATATAGGTATGTTGTTATCTATAATTGGAAAATTCACAGTTAGGAGACTAAAATTATCATGCTTATCATACAGCTTGGTGCAAAGTTGTCCGTATTAGTTTGGTTGTAGGAAAAGATCGAGATGAACAGCTGATGAAGTATAGTCTGTAATTCCTTGATTCCTAAGTCTTAAGGCTATATACGATGTGCATGGTCAATAGACTTCTTGTTATTTAAAGACAAGACGTGAAATTCAACGATTTTGAAAGGTCTTTGTTTTGTTTGTTTTTTGTTGTTTTTTTTTCTCTCGTTTTTTTTTTTTTTTTTTTTTTTTTTTTTTGTTTTTTTGTTTTTTTGTTTGTTTTGAAAGACACTTTTTGTTAGTGAAATTGCGATGTAATTATGGGAAAATCGTCATGAAAAATAATGAAAATAACAAGATATTTATCTTTTTTCATTTTCAGATTTCGGTTTAAGTAATACTATTAAGGTTTCCTCTTCTAAAGACTCGGTTCGTGCACAAGAGTATTTAAACACGCAATGTGGAAGTCCTGCTTATGCAGCACCGGAACTTCTTGGGCGTAAAAAGTACGGTCCTCAAGTAGATGTCTGGAGCATGTAAGTTGGACGAAATTAACGCAATAATTAGATATCAATTATACTAAATATGATTTTTTTTTAAAATTTCAAACAACTTAATAGATAGAAAATCAGTCGCATCACACTCATCGATAGTATTGCCAAAGACTTTTCATTACATTTTTCTTAAGATAGATTGAATAAATGGCAAAAATAACACATTGTATCAACCAAAATGAGGAAAAGGTATAATTCTTCTACTTAATGCTGCTACAAAAAATAAGACAAGGGATGCTTTAAGCACAGTAAAGCATAATTTAGTTAATTAACACAGTATTGAGGAAGATGTTACTTTTGACCCATTAGTGTCATTGTTTAAGAAAGTCCTTTTAATTATATTCTTGTGTCAGACTTGACGAGAAATCACTACAATAATGATACCTGCTCACTTAGCTGATCTGTGTATGATATTAAATAAATGATCATTAACCCTTTTCAGAGCTCACTTTATTCTCACTTTTAAGCGTTAGAACCACATAAATAATAATTAAACAACATATCATGCACACTATCTAAAACAATGTAAGCAAACACTTTACTACATTTTGAAATGTCAAAAGTGAGTCAGTGTAAGTATGATTTCAGTAAGTGTTTTACTACATATTGTACAGGAACAATAGAGCAGGTCCAACCTAGTAGTGATAAAAATTTTAATCTTTTAAAAGCTCACCCTGATCAGATGTTGTTGTACTGATATATAATTTTGAAAACGAATATACAGTAGACTGCAAGACAGAGAAAATCCCAAATCGCAAATATAAACTGATAAGGTCTAAATGTATAGTGAAATTAGTGACAAAGTGACAACAGGAATGGGGATAGGTAAAATTTCACATTCTCTTCACACGCTGAATGATACTTAACAATGACATATTAGGGAAACGTTTCAGCAATGAAAATGAAACAGGATAGAATGTCACATCGCCAGTACAGAGAGTTGATACGGAAAATGTTATGGCTGAAACTAAAACAGGAAAACAATGCAATGTTGTCAATATACCAGGATTATTTCTTTAACTCAGAGTCGATAGTGAAGACAACAGTGGTAACCAAGGAAACAGCCAAACAAAATACACCATAATCAGCATATACAACATAAACAACATATAAAAGTATATGACCAATGCTGAAGACATGCATATACAATAGGGAAACAAGGAAAATATTTCAAAGACAGCAGCTACAGCGGGAGAGCTTTTGGTGCTTGTAGACAGAGTGACAAAGTAATAAAAAAAATCTCTAATTAGTTGACATTTCCATTTCACACAAGAGAACAACTGTCGCCATTTCCATTAACAGTCTGGTAAATTTTGGGGTCACCGCATGCTAATTTGTTGCTATGGTATGAAATATACATGTATATCAGTACATAATGAATTAATTTCTCGCACTACTAATTAATAAATCATATACAAGGCCTTGAATAGCTGTCCTTGACATATTTTACGCTTTTCCCCTGACGTCAATTGAGGTTTCTCTCATCAAAGTCAATTTAGTAATTATCAATTCGAGTAGAAATGATATGCTACCACAACTAAAATCATCAACATCTGTAATTTTCCTGGTAACTTTTTGTGAATGAAAACGAGTAGTGAAATTACTATAGATATGTGCAAATTCAGAACAAATCTGAGCATTTCATTTTAAAATGCAGCCACTGAATCCGATTACAATTTGTTCACGTTTACGCGATATTTACCTTACAAGACACGCTTAGCCACCATGATGTCATTCTTATATACAACAACAAAGCTCGCTATTCCAGCCCCATGGTTACATTAACGACTATCTGATATATATCAGACGACAAATTGTTTTACAAAGTGCCTTAATTGAAATTATGCAGCATATTTTGTTAGCCCGTAGAATTTGAAGTTTGCCAGCAAAGCTTTGCCATTCAGATTTTCTGTAGATTAAGTACCAGGACAGCACATCGGCCACGTGACGGTATGATGTAGATAGTGGTAGAAGAACTTGTTATGACGTAGGGAAAGACGTATCATAGACTATTGACATAATCATCTAGGACACGCTGACTTTTACCGATAATGACAATGTCAATGTATTCGTCCTTGAAGTTTTTTATTGCAATTATCCATACAATCGAGCGACTGGTAAAACAAACAAATGTTCTTCTTCCTTATTACGGATATGCATACATCCTCATGAACTGGTTTGAATTACTGAACTATTAGTAAAAAATATTTACATCATCAATGTGACTTATGATATGCATGGAAATACAAAGGTATGTGTGTAATAAGTATTTACGTGACTTTCATCAACATTAATACACTAGATATCAAACAATGTAAAACAGACCCCGTGGGTAAATACATCAACAAACAATCTCCTAGGAAAACCGTTGACAATAAGACTAGCTACTCTAGCTCCAGTCATATAGCTTTGTTGAATAATTGATACATATTCGGTACAAGTGAGTTCATTGGATATTTGTGTTATTTTATGGAATAGGTTTTCTTGGTTGTTAAATGGGCCGAAACACACACTTTACCCAAGGTCAAAGTCTCCTTTCCTACACAACAGTTCTGTGTTTGAGTTTAAGTAAATCACAAGTTTTAATGTCATCATGGCTTACTTTTACTTATCTTTATTGTAAATATATATTTGGTTTACACTTAACTCCTTTCACAATCCAGAAATTAGAATATAATTGGTAAAAAGAGTTAACTTTACATTAATAGGTGATTATTATTAAAATAATTCTATAATGATAATGAATTTAGTAACAAATACGATTTTTATAACCCTCCGCAAGAGAGACACACAACCAGGTAGGCATGTCGTACTCCAGAAATAAACCACGATGTTGCAGCATTGAAGTCACCTGTCATGTCATATTTTATCACAAATGACTGATTCACACATCTACAATTTCGTTGCTATGTTGTTGATGTATTAATGCCACGAAATAATCACATTTGAGTAGCTCTACCAATATCATGAATCTACGCAACACTTGAATCATACAAGTCGTTATTTATGTAATTTTTTATTCTGATGGTGCAGTTTTTGTGTAACATGAGGTCAGGTCGACATGAACCCTCGTGATATTGTAAATTATGATGTTCATTACCAGGGGTTGAAAATAAGAAAATTATAATGATACATCTATAGTTGCCTGATTTTGACGAACTTATTATATAGAACCGTTTTACGGACAATGGACCAGTCAGGTTAATATTTTAGCCGTGTGTGGATGCATTTTGTAATAATATAAACATACAGGTAGATTGTTGAACCTGACTAAGTATGCTAGGGGACACACCTGTCTTTGTTGTTTACATATATAAAGACTGGCCTTAATTGGTATCAGACATATAAACAGTATCGGTTACATGTTTTGTCTCACGTAAATTGCAAATGTTCTGCTTAATTGAAAAGCGACGCCCAAAATGAAATTAAACAACAACATTATATGTAGGACAATGTGATCATATCTGCTATTTATTTTCATATGACGATATAAATAAATGCATGTTTTGATATAGATACTTAGACTATTATTTTCTGATAAAGATTTAATTCTCAGTTTGTCTTGATTTATAGTTCATTTATATTTTGTCGTTTTACTCATAATCAGTTCATAAAAAGCAAATTTTAAACCAATGAGTATTAATAACCTATACTACAATAAATACAATGTCCGTTCATGTTAAGGATTCTAATTGCCCCTTAAGTATCACACCGTCTCCCAGGTTTCCAGGGGGAGGGGGAGAAGGGAAGGCTCACACCCACTCCCAGGTTTCCAGGGAAAGGAGAAGGGAAGGCTCACACTAACTCCCAGGTTTCCAGGGGGAGGAGGAGGAAGGGAGAAGGGAAGGCTCACATCTACTCCCAGGTTTCCTGGGGAGGGGGAGGAAGGCTCACACACACTCCCAGATTTCCAGGGGAGGGAGAAGGGAAGGCTCCCAGCCACTCCCAGGTTTCCAGGGGAGGGAGAGGGGAAGGCTCACACACACTCCCAGGTTTCCAGGGGAGGGAGAGGGGAAGGCTCACACACACTCCAAAATTTCCAGGGGAGGGAGAAGGGAAGGCTCCCATCCTGTCTCAGGTTTCCAGGGGAGGGAGAGGGGAAGGCTCACACACACTCCCAGGTTTCCAGGGGAGGGAGAGGGTTTCCAGGGGAGGGAAAGGGGAAGGCTCACAACCACTCCCAGGTTTCCAGGGGAGGGAGAAGGGAAGGCTCCCAGCCACTCCCAGGTTTCCAGGGGAGGGAGAGGGGAAGGCTCACACACACTCCCAGGTTTCCAGGGGAGGGAGAGGGGAAGGCTCACACACACTCCCAGATTTCCAGGGGAGGGAGAAGGGAAGGCTCCCACCCTGTCTCAGGTTTCCAGGGGAGGGAGAGGGGAAGGCTCACAACCACTCCCAGGTTTCCAGGGGAGGGAAAGGGGAAGGCTCCCACACACTCCCAGGTTTCCAGGGGAGGGAGAGGGGAAGGCTCACACACACTCCAAGGTTTCCAGGGGAGGGAGAAGGGAAGGCTCACACTAACTCCCAGGTTTCCAGGAGGAGGAGGAGGAGGAGGAAGGGAGAAGGGAAGGCTCACATCCACTCCCAGGTTTCCACGGGGAGGAGGGGGAAGGCTCACACACACTCCTGGGTTTCTAAGGGAAGGAGAAGGGAAGGCTCACACACACTCCCAGGTTTTCTAGGGGAAGGAGAAGAGAAGGCTCACACACACTCCCAGGTTTCTAGGGGAAGGAGAAGGGAAGGCTCACACCCACCCCAATGTTTCCATTAGAGGGAGAGGAGAAGACTGACACCCACTGCCAGGTTTCCAGGGGAGGGAGAAGGAAAGGCTCACACACACTCCCAGGTTTCCCAGGCCGGAACTTAACAACACCTGCATCGTTTTATAACACAACTACATACAAAATTTTAAATCATTATCTCTATCCGCCAAAGAGTAAATTAATGGAAATCAAATGATTACGGAATATGACTGAGCTCACGAATATATGGCGAAGTTTTAATTAAAATCATGTTTTCTGTTACATATAGAAAGAAATTGATAACTTGATTAATTGACGGTTGAGATTTTTGTCTTTGTGAATGTTAATGTATGTGTATATTTGTAGCAGTCATAATTGTTTGCTGAAACGTCAACAGAATGTCTATTTGAGCATTTCACTGTATATAGCATATGGCTATTCTGAAATAAGTCAAACATTACTTTTTTCTCAAAACTCAAAGTAAGTTGTCTACATATGTCTGTAATTCCTCTATTGGATTATGTGTTAGATTTACGAAAATAAAATCTTAAAACCAAACTTTTTGAATAAATGGGTAGAAAATTTAAATTGTTAAAACAATGTGTAATGTGAAAATCCATCCTGCATCATTTCAGAGGTGTAAATATGTACGCAATGCTGACGGGGAACTTGCCATTTACTGTTGATCCATTCAATATAAAAACCCTTTACAACAAAATGTTGAGCGGCCAAACGAATCCTCTCCCCGAGAATGTAAGCAAAGGTAAGGTAGTATGTATATTAATGCGGTGTTCTGTTGCCTTGTTGTTTGCCGATTGTCAGTCTCATAAAAGTCATTGTATAGGTTGCCTTTTCACTAATCAACTTTTTTAAAAAAATCATTTTATTGCCGTTAAGCAAAAGGATTGGGCACAAGTTACAATAACATGATTAACGTCCTTTCCATTATTAGAAAAACAATTACATATACTCATTTCAACATGGCTCAAAATAATTATATACATATAATTTTTAATTAAGAGAGAGAGAGAGAGAGATAGAGATTTACTCAAATTTCATGGCTAAATGAACACATTCTTACAAAATAAATCTTAAATATATCTTACGCTATTATTTTACATTTAACCGCACCAACCGAATCATGTTATCACACAACACAAGCATACTCGCAAGCCTTGTAAATTCAGGCAACAAATTAAACTAATTGGAAAGAAGTAATTGCAATTTCATAGAAAGACACAAGAACAAGAATCAACTGTTAAACATTGTCCATATATACTTATGATATGTCAATGTGCGCTAGTAAGAATTATGAATAAGACTGTTAGTGAAAACTCTATTTCATAAACATGAAGATAACCCAGTGATATATCTTAAAAACCTGAATAGAAAGCAAATGCATGTTTGTTTATGTAAGAAACTATGGCCTTATTTTCAGGATAGACTTATTGCTAAGGTGGGTCTGTGTTCGTTGTTTTCTTATCTGCTAATTTGATAATGAATTCCCAGACGTCCATAGAAACAGACTACTTCCGTCTTCAAATCTTTCTAAATTTACACACTTGTTGTCTTTCACTGATCATACATTAAATTTAAGGCTTTCTTGCTTGAATTTGCGACAGAGTTGTAATTTACACACACAGGGCGGTTCTCCTTAAATGGTCATAGCTGGTTAGTAAAACTAAACATTGGCTAGCTCGTCATCCGGTAACTTAAGAGGGAAAGAAAGCTCGATGTAGAATAGAAAGATAGAGAGAAGATTAGACTTGAAGACATTCGAAGCGTAAGGTGTAAATTTAGCATGTGTATCTACATAGATATCAATCTTGTGATCTTAATTGCTATCTTGTCTCCCACGATAGCTGATTTAACCCATCACGCGAATATTGACTAGATCAGGCTTATATCTAATTAATCTACCTGTACAAGTATCTACCTGTCTAGCTGGGAAGGTAGCAACCGGACGCTATCCATGGAGAACATTTCTTTGATGGAAGGAAACACTCAGTACAGGTTGTAAGACAGCCTTAATATTTTAAAATAAATTTATAACTAGATGCAGTAGAGCCAATTAATTAATTAAACTTCACAATACATTCAACTGTTTTGTCCGTCTAGAGCTCGATATTATGCCAAGAGCCTAAATTTTAAAATCTAATGAAATCGAAAGAGGAGAAAAGAAGAGTAAAAAACTAGATATGAAGGTTCTCTAGTCATATAATTCAATTAATTTCGTCAGTTTCGTATCTCTGATCATTTTTTTAAAAAAGCGTCAGAACAGGTCTCTTATTCATTATACATGTACACCCAGGAAGACATGCTTCAATAGTTCGTCAGAGTATAATTAAAAAGAACGATGTGTAATTCATTTCAATGGATCCTGTATCAAATATCTCGCCATTTGTGAATTTAAGCTACTCAGTAAATATTGTAAAACTGCTTTCATTTATGAATATCTCCACTGAAATTGCGTGTGGGGAAAGGATCAGTTCAGCACCCATCAGATAAGTTTACAATCGATTTTCCCGAACTTCATTAAATTATCATTAATGCTTTGTTCCTTATTATTTTTTTTACTGAATAATCTATTTCACATTTCCGGATTTTTATAACGTATATGAAGACTAGGCTGCATCGCTATGCTACACAATCACGAGTTTACCAAGACTAACTTTTCATTTCAATATTAACTATGACGTTAGCATACATATTTAACATCTACTCCTATTTCATTGCTCCGGTTTTCAATAATACATTCTACCATCCATGGAAACACCAAAATATGAAAATTGGGATTTTGTATAATTAGTGATTTCGGTAACGCCTACTTTTATTTAAATATTAAGTCGTTTCACGAATGACGATTATCGGTTTCCAGGAACATTGTGTTTGACCATTCAGTGAAGCTACATCTTCACTCTTTGATGTCATTATAACAAAAACCTGGTTATTAATTACCGTTGTACAAACTTTCCACTCGAAAGAACAAACATAGATCCCATTCAATAACTGGTAAAAATAAGCTATGTACCTGATTAATTAAATAGTCCCCACAGACGTAAATCACACAAAAACAGTTTTACTACCACATTTTACTAATGACATTATAGCATAACCTTATTTGGTAATATTGTCATTAATATCGGTTGAGTTGTTACGTTTATCAAGTAACTACATTTGATGAAAACGATTTCTCAATCCCTCTATTTTAAAATCAATATCGATTTCATAGGTAAAAAGTTTATGAGCATCTTTTTATGCCCCTAGCATTCCAGAGTCTTAGAACGAGAAAACAACTGAATGATGAAGTTATATTTATTACATGGCTATACTGTATCTATTACAAACTTTCTTGTGTGTCGTATAAAACACCCTTCCTTATGTGTTTATGTGGTATTCTTATTTACATTAAAATGTTATATACAAGTAAATGTTTTTACTGTCGTTACATTACAAAAGGATTGAAATATATTAGTAATTAAAACTAGTCGTTTCTAAACAGGTCTCATTAAATTTATTTATCTTGTACATCATAAAACGTGTATGGTTTGATTTTTTTAAGTATCTATTTTATTTCTTACAGAATGCCGTGAACTTTTAAAACGCTTTCTGACCCCTGAGCCTGACAAACGTATCACTCTGGAGGACACCATGAAACATTCTTGGGTGGCAGAAAGTACGTTTATTAAAACTTTGATTACAGGCGTCAATATGGCCCAGTTAACCAATTTATCTAACAAAATACAGGGAATAAAATACGATTAAATCTCCTGTATCCGTGGTAAATATTGTACCTGTGTATTTATCATTAAACAATTAGAAAAAACATCATTTGCTTTTTGAATCAGAAGTTATTGATTGAGTGACTTATATCTCTACCACAAGTATCTTCCAAAACAACACTTAATCATTCCTGTTGCTCAAAAAGAAATAAACTGCTCGTGGATTAAACTCTAAACCCGTTCTGATTTGCTAACACATGGAGGGTGGTTCACGCACTTTCAGAAATCAAATCGCGCAAAAGCAGTTTAAAAATGATTAACTTAATTTGGTTTTTTTTTCTAATAAATTATTACATTTTGAAATATTTCTGAGGTTATGAGTTAAGTCTATTTCACTAAAGGTCATATCATTTCGCCCAAACTCGTGGTGGTTGCATGTTATATGAAATACCTTAAGTTGTATGTATTTTTCATATTTTAGGTAAGGGAGTTCCTATGGAACGAGCGCCTTGCCCAAACAAACTACGGAATGATGAACTTGATGACAACATCATGAAGCATATGACAGAATCGCAAGGGTTCCGAATGTCAGAAGTGATCCGATTTGTTATTGGAAACATCCCTAGTCCAGCTTTAGCGATGTATCATATCCTACACCGGAAGTTGGTTCGATATATGGCAGACATGCGTGTTAAAGGGAAAGTGTCTGCAATGGATTCACCAATGTTTGGTCACAAAAAAGTTTCTCTAGTCTTTCAGGTAAATATATGCTGGATGAATATGCTAGCGTGTAACTCAATTATCATTTCTTATATGAAAAGGGACGGTATATAAGCGTATAGTTGTAACAGTACGCTAATAAATGAAATTAAAAACCGAAATACATTGATATTTGAAATGTTCAAGTGTGTCATTTAAGGAATTTTGTGTTAAACAATATGTTTAAAACATTTTCTTTTTTATTTAGAAAATAAAAGCTCACCGGAACTCTGCCGGTGGCGAGGACTCCCAAGCAAGCAACATACAGAAATTTGGTGCTGTTAATTATATGTCTAGGAAAAAACACACTCGGGCAGAGAAAAACGACGATGTGAAAATAACAGATATTGAAAACGACGATAATAACAATGATCAAATAAAAGGTAATATTCCTAGGAATCCAGTGTTCTAAGTATAGGCAAAATTACTGCACGTACTGTCCCCACTGCATGATAATTAGAGGCAACTAAACTTGGAAATCCCCCTCCCCATTTTCTGATGACATTCGTCCTGGTATCTTCTTCGCATTTGGCCTTTAACTATTGTGCGTCATATTTAAAATTACGATGAAAGTAAAGGTGATGACTTATTTAGTGTAAACATTAACTAACTATGCGAATAGAAAATATCTGTTTGTCTTTTAAGATCAAGTTAGAAGGAATGACCATGATATTTGTTTTATACGATATACACCAGACACGCTGTGCGCATAAATCCGCGAATTTCAATATAAAAAAAACATTTATAGTTTTTTTACAATAAAATCAAGGACGTAGAATTATAGATTTGTTTTGGTATAAATAATATAGTTTGTTTTTCAACTGATCAATTTCCTACAGACCCATGATAAAGGTGAAGGTCATTTAACACGGTTTTGCATAAAAGAAATAACAATGACCCGAAATACATTCGTGTGTACAAACTGTCCCAGTGCGGCTATAAAGCCTCTCACAACTCAATGTTTGTTGAGATGCTACTGTAGTTACGAAGGCGTGTCAAGTCCTTTGAGGATGCTTGCCTAACAACGACAATATCGACCTGATCATAAACCCGTCAGATTATTGTAAGCTTGACTTCGCTACCATTATGTAATATTTATATAAATGTTATATGATAATTCACGTAAAAATGTGACTTACAAAATTAGTTTGTGTAGTACACCGGATAGTAAAACGTTTGCATTCACGTACTCATATTTATATGAGTCGTAAAGCTGACAAATTTTACTGTGTTCACTTTCAGATACTTGATAATACCTAAGAATTTCTGAAACCATTTAGTAAAATAAGTCTTCGGATGATTTTGTTAGATGAAGCTGCGTGTGTGGATGTAATCACCATTATGTATATGTGGTATTAGGTTGAAAATTAACTCTCTCTCATTAACGGCCATCACCGTGCGTATTCTGTTTACTCTAGACGAGTCTGTAAATACACCAACAGGCAGTTGACCTCACCTTGCAAACACCTGCTTATCCATCACAAACAGGTAGATTACTACCATGTACATTCTTCCTCTATGTAAACATGGCGTGAGTAGGGGTCATCTCTGTTAATGAATTTTAGTTGGACAAGCCTTCATAAAGATAGGAATCGGGCGTTCACTACCACGTTAAAAGAATAGGCCATCTGAGAGATCTTCTCTGCCACCCATTCATATTGTATGTGCTTATGAAACATTTTGTAACCTATTACGGTATACCACACTAGAACAAGTAATAGAATATAGAGTTTAATGGGCGTGTTTAGAATATCGCACTGGCTTGATTTTACTCAATGAAAACTTCCTTCTGTTGACGATAGTGTTGAAAACGGGTGAAAAAGACAACACTTCACATTTCAATTCAAATAATTTTTTTTTCAGTTAAATTCCTTAATGAATCCTACTTTACAAACGGTACCAAGGCGCTTTAAAATTGTTATATATACCTTTAAGGACAGACCATATAGTCTTTGCTTCTGATTTGCATTCCGGACGACAAGCATACAGTGGGCTATCCTAGTTTCCAAGTAATTACAATTATGTTGTTTGTCAGTACGTTACGGATAAAATGATATATTTCGTAGCACATTAGCCACGGGGATTAAAGCTATGACTTATCGATTTGCATTCGTGAACAAAATATCCCGGATGTCTTATGTGTTTTATATATAGATATTGAACTCGATAACAAAATGAACGATCGTTTTATAAAATCTTTCACAGTTCCTAAAATGACCACAGATGTTGATAGAACGTTAAACAAAATATTATAACCAATCTTTGCTGACCAAACGAAGGTCTTCCGTCTAACACAGGGAGATTTTTGTCTAGATTTCCAACGTCAAACAACATGTCAAAGAGAGAGTGTATGTTAGGTCGTTATAGCTGGTATATTGGTCAATAACTAGACGAATTGAGTAAGTCATTGAGTATCGATCACCAAATCTTGTCTTTAATTCTCAATACACTGCATTATAGTCTTTTGGAACAACTTCATAAAAAAAATGTTGTAAATAAAACATAGTGAATCTTGGATTTTTTTCACCTCTCTTTTTAATGTCTTGTCTAAAATCAAATTGTAATTTCTTGTATTTTGACAATTCAATATCATTAACGAGTTTCAGGTGAAAATACATAAATTTTAGTATATTGATAGTTATTTGCGTTCCTGTGTTGTAGCATTGGAAAGAGAAGTATCCGACCCGACACGAGTAGAACAGACAAAGCAGTCCCTGTGTAAGTCTCCTCTGCCTATAAGGCGCGAGACGACGTATCTGCCCATTGTACCCGGCAAAGTGATAGTGCGAGGTGCTGGTGTTTCGCACGACCTGTCACCTTCCCCAGATTTCCATATAGAGGAAATAGGCAGTGAAAACTCTGGTACTCCTGACGGTATAGACTCTCACAGCACCGTCAACAAACGTTCCAATTACCGACCTCATATGATGCCTCCAAGACGTCATCTTGGTAGGGTGAAACAATATCTATGGGAGGACCCGTTGCCGTCTGCAGACAGAGGAAACGCCGAGACGGCTGATGTGTTAGTGCGACGTCTCATCAAACGGTGCAATACAGACCTTACTGTAAATATAAAGGGCAATAAACCACGCTTTCAGAGAGCACAAAATCATCCGGATAATGTCACTCATCAAATGTGCAATGGACAAAATAATGTCTATATTAGACGGACCGAAGTTAAAATAGTAAATAACAAGAAGTTAATCCACTTAGACTATTCGCCATGTGCTGGTAACAAAGACACCAAACAAGTGTTGACACATGGCGCTACTCACAGGGGTCTGGACATCCCAAAGCCAAGAACATCAGCACGTGCAGCAAACCACGTGCAACCTCACTACCATAAGTCAGGGCAAGCACTACCGCTTTATAACAGAAGTAAGTCACCCCACGCGGCCTCAATTGAGAGAATTACTGCTCTGTCATCTAGTCCAAAACCTGCAAGTTCGAAAGGAACATTGAACTCTGAACTTTCGTCACTCCTTAACAGAGAGAACACAGCCCCTTCGTTAGCTCTGCCTAACATTATGTCCCCTACAGAGTGCAAGTAGAACCAACAGGTTAAGAAAAGGCTTATCTCGTGTGTTGTTGACAATATTACAATCGGACGAATACAACGAGTATCTACTTAGATATAGTACACAATAAAGACACATAGTTACATGCATCATTCGTTTCTTGAATGAACGGAATAGTGTATATTTCAAGTATCAGTGAATTTATGAAAATCTTACATCACATAATCGTTTACAGCAAGATGATATCCTGAGAAAATTGATGATAAAGCGGATACTGATTGTATTGGTGATTGTCTTTCGAGAAACGAAGAGTTCGATGGAAGGGTTATTGTATTTCTTCTGAACTGATTTCATCTGGTATTTTAACTCTGAAAAGCACATGTCAACGGCGCTTAGCAATACGGGGTTTGTTGTGGTATTCCAACTAGTTTTAGGCCAGCATATAATCCGTTTTTTATGATTCGTATCTGAAGAAAACTTGTTCTTGTTTATTACGTCACTGACTTTTTGTCATCTGTGACGTCAGAAGAGTGCGCTCGTGCGAAATTGTAGATTCTAGACTGACAATAAAGGAACAATATTTATGATACGATGTTAATATTATACCTCAACAATACTCGAGTCGTTTTATCACTGTGTAACCACATGGTCACTCACTACAACAACGATTCTCAGTAGCTCATCAATTATTACAAATAGTAGAGCAGATTGACAATCTTCAACGAACAATTTGAATTTTCGTGGCAAAATAACTGGATATATCGTTGTAAATCAATATGATGTATGACAATCTCGTGATAAAATTCTATATCTTATTGCACGACATTAATGTTTGATAAAACCTTTAGTAGACTGAAAGTTCATTTTAAAAATGTTGGTCATGGGTACAAAGTTCACACGAACAAAGACCTCGAAATGGTGAATTATTATTTGGTGTGAACTCGTGATGAGAAACTGTCGTGTTTCGTTTGTATAGCTATTGTTACAATGATATTGTGATCGACATTGCAACTTTTGCAAAACAATAAAATGTGATATCAAGGTTGTGTGTAGTTTTTGTTGATTTCGTGAAATAATGTCATTTGTACTGTAACAACAATGATGTCGACGATGTGTATGTGTATTGGACATTTCTAGGTTTTGAAAAGGTTAATTTGCATCACAAGATTTATTTGTTTTGCGTCTTGTAAATTATAGGACATAGGAATCTTATACTGTAAACATACATATCATCACAGTTATCTTATTTTAGCGCTATTCACGCTGAATGTTTCGCGATAAAATATGACACGAATTGCAATTTTTGTATATAGTTAATTCATAATATAATTCCAGTAATTTCATGCGCGTAATTTTTCAACATTTTAGAGTGAGATACAGTAGAGCCAAACAATAAAACAATTTGCATCATACCGCTGTTTCGTCGTTCTATGACTCGTCAGTGATGCAAAGGGCCTACAATGTGAAGCCTAGGAGGCGATTGAGGAAAACCCAAAGTAATCAACAAGAAAGTCAAAATCAAGGCGGTAAGCTGAAGCATCCTAATAAAAAGATAAACTTCGTGATTTTCATACATCAGATAATTTTATAATAACGCTTTTGTATATATCAGTTAAATACTAAATAACAAAAAAGACAATAACGTCTAGTTCCCGGGTTTTTGAGAAAAGCACAGCAACAAAAGCATAAAGTCTTCCATAACTAATAAATAAATATTTCCATGAAACAGGAAGAGAAGTCTACGGTGAAATATATTCGGAATCATTTACTATAATTTATACAAGCGTCGTTTACATACGCACAAATCACTTCACTTAATTTGCCATTCTCATCTATTGCACGAAGACTTTTTTCAGTGCATTGTAAGCAGTAAGTATGTCTTTCCTTGCTGGTTATGTTGCGTTTGTTTTGACGTCATCGCTTCATGGTATATATCCATTGATCGTTAGATTGGTCGATTGACACCGTTAGTGGCCCGAGGACAAAAGAATCAAACTACACAAGCATTGTGAGAACCAGCGGGATGATCATATCAACAGACCTAGAAGACAAGCCCAATATATAACACTGGTGTATAGTAGTCTTACTGGTGTATAGTAGTCTTACTGGTATATAGTAGTCTTACTGGTGTAGTAGTCTTACTGGTGTATAGTAGTCTTACTGGTGTATAGTAGTCTTACTGGTGTATAATAGTCTCACTGGTGTATAGTAGTCTTACTGGTGTAGTAGTCTTACTGGTGTATAGTAGTCTTACTGGTGTATAATAGTCTCACTGGTGTAGTAGTCTTACTGGTGTGTAGTAGTCTTACTGGTGTAGTAGTCTTACTGGTGTATAATAGTCTCACTGGTGTATAGTAGTCTTACTGGTGTAGTAGTCTTACTGGTGTATAGTAGTCTTACTGGTGTATAATAGTCTCACTGGTGTATAGTAGTCTTACTGGTGTAGTAGTCTTACTGGTGTATAGTAGTCTTACTGGTGTATAGTAGTCTTACTGGTGTATAATAGTCTCACTAGTGTATAGTAGTCTTACTGGTGTAGTAGTCTTACTGGTGTATAGTAGTCTTACTGGTGTATAATAGTCTCACTGGTGTATAGTAGTCTTACTGGTGTAGTAGTCTTACTGGTGTATAGTAGTCTTACTGGTGTGGTAGTCTTACTGGTGTATAGTAGTCTTACTGGTGTATAATAGTCTCACTGGTGTAGTAGTCTTACTGGTGTAGTAGTCTTACTGGTGTAGTAGTCTTACTGGTGTATAATAGTCTCACTGGTGTAGTAGTCTTACTGGTGTAGTAGTCTTACTGGTGTATAGTAGTCTTACTGGTGTAGTAGTCTTACTGGTGTAGTAGTCTTACTGGTGTATAGTAGTCTTACTGGTGTATAATAGTCTCACTGGTGTAGTAGTCTTACTGGTGTAGTAGTCTTACTGGTGTATAGTAGTCTTACTGGTGTAGTAGTCTTACTGGTGTGTAGTAGTCTTACTGGTGTATAGTAGTCTTACTGGTGTATAGTAGTCTCACTGGTGTATAGTAGTCTTACTGGTGTATAGTAGTCTTACTGGTGTATAGTAGTCTCACTGGTGTATAGTAGTCTTACTGGTGTAGTAGTCTTACTGGTGTGTAGTAGTCTTACTGGTGTATAGTAGTCTTACTGGTGTAGTAGTCTTACTGGTGTGTAGTAGTCTTACTGGTGTATAGTAGTCTCACTGGTGTAGTAGTCTCACTGGTGTATAGTAGTCTTACTGGTGTATAGTAGTCTTACTGGTGTAGTAGTCTTACTGGTGTATAGTAGTCTTACTGGTGTAGTAGTCTTACTGGGTAGTCTTACTGGTGTAGTAGTCTTACTGGTGTATAGTAGTCTTACTGGTGTATAGTAGTCTTATTGGTGTAGTAGTCTTACTGGGTAGTCTTACTGGTGTAGTAGTCTCACTGGTGTATAGTAGTCTTACTGGTGTATAGTAGTCTTACTGGTGTAGTAGTCTTACTGGTGTATAGTAGTCTTACTGGTGTAGTAGTCTTACTGGTGTATAGTAGTCTTACTGGTGTAGTAGTCTCACTGGTGTATAGTAGTCTTACTGGTGTATAATAGTCTTACTGGGTAGTCTTACTGGTGTAGTAGTCTCACTGGTGTATAGTAGTCTTACTGGTGTAGTAGTCTTACTGGTGTAGTAGTCTTACTGGTGTATAGAAGTCTTACTAGTGTATAGTAGTGTAGTAGTCTTACTGGTGTAGTAGTCTTACTGGTGTATAGAAGTCTTACTGGTGTATAGTAGTCTTACTGGTGTGTAGTAGTCTTACTGGTGTGTAGTAGTCTTACTGGTGTAGTAGTCTTACTGGTGTATAGTAGTCTTACTGGTGTAGTAGCCTTACTGGTGTAGTAGTCTTACTGGTGTATAGTAGTCTTACTGGTGTATAGTAGTCTTACTGGTGTAGTAGTCTCACTGGTGTATAGTAGTCTTACTGGTATAGTAGTCTTACTGGTGTAGTAGTCCTACTGGTGTATAGTAGTCTTACTGGTGTAGTAGCCTTACTGGTGTATAGTAGTCTTACTGGTGTATAGAAGTCTTACTAGTGTAGTAGTCTTACTGGTGAGTATGGAACACTTGGGAAGTGTACCACGAAAGATAACACAATGCAGTTCACTAATGAATGGTGTATTTATTACAACGCCAACAACTTTGATACTGACAACCCACTTCATTCGTATAACACATCCGTCGTATTCTCTCAACAAAGCAATAAACACATTATTGCGTACACAAAATTCACTGATTAAAACGCATGTACTGTGTGTGGATTATTGGCGAGTTCTTGCAATTTGTCCGGAAAACCAACTGATATATAAAACTAAAACACATTTTAATAAATACTATGTATATCCATCTATTTTGAATATTCTGATCGTGTCCACATTTCCCGCTCATTCACAAGATCTCACACAGATATACACATACATGACAGAAGATACTTCTTAGTCAGGGTGTACTGTCAGACAGCTGGTCGTGCGAGATTTTAGTAATAAACGTGAACTGCAATAGTCTATGCCTTGGAGAAGTAGACAAAACTACACGGATTCAACATTAATAGATTACTACCTTCAGAAAGATAGCAAAGTGAGACAAAATGTATGGCTTCCAGCTCATCTTATCATTACTCTGTCTCAGCACATTGTAAAGGGTAGCATCACCTGACAGATAGGGGGCATATACATAGTAACCACGTAAACACCATGGAAGAAAGCTGCTAATGACATGTGCCTTGATTTGGTGTCACAAGCAGACAAACAAGTTATAGCAGAACTCGGAAGGACTGCAGATGTTATGACAACTTTGGTCATCTGAACTTAATACTTAATAACAGCAACGTGTTCCATACAATATATCATTTTTGAGAGAACATGTCGTACAACGGTTTTGAACGTGTGGCGATAACGACCACGATTTGTAAATTAGCAGTAGATTCCAGTAGGTGTGGACACAAGTAGGCAAACCACAAGATCCCAAACATCCTCTAGCCATAAATTAGAGAAAACCAGCTATTCGGATGAGTATTGCAACAAAAAGACCCCAAGAAAAAAGAGTAATGTATAGAGGCTCGATCTGCACAAACAAAATATACCAGCTTATTAA